TATCCTTCACAGCAAGACCATCACATTTTACTTTGTCATGGAAGGTCATCCGAAACAATCGGACTAACCTTGTAAAAATAATCTTTCTTAAGAAGCTTATTGTGCAAAGTCATTGAAAAATATATATTTTATTTGACTTTGAATCATAAGTATTGTAAAGAATGGGCAACTATAAAAACCCATTTTTGACCCCTCATGTATTTTCATACAACATTAAAAATTCAAAAAAAAAAAAAACAAGAGATTCAAAAATTCGAAAAAAAAAAATTGAAATATTCCATAGTTTGTCTTTTCATGATTTTTAGGTATTTTAATAAATTTTTAGAATTTTAATTCTTTAGAATTATTCCCCTTTTTTAAGTTAAAAAAAAAAAAGGAAAAACAAGAAGAAAAATAAAAAAAAATAAGAGAAAAGTAATAAAAAAAAATTGAGAAGATGATTTAGGATCCAATTAAAAATGACGTGAAAAACAGGACTAAGTGAAATTTAAATAGGGATATAATTGAAAAGGGATAAAAATTAAAAAAAAAACTTGATTAAAAATTAATCGGTGTCAAATCAAAAGAAATCAAGAGAATATGCATTAAAAAATTTCAATTATTGAAATTGAAAAAAAAAAAACACAACCAAGGAAGAACCAAAATTGGTTTTGTCCCAAACCCCAAAAAAACCTATAGTCACAATTATTCGCCTATCCCAAAAAACTCTAGCCTCCATCACTCATCTTTCTACAAAAAAAAAAAAAAATAGCCTCTACCACCCATTTATTTATAAAAAAAAAAACAAAAACAACCTAGCCTCTATAATTATTCCCGTACACAAAACAATCTAATTAAAATACCCATCACCCCTACCCATAAAAAAAATTAAAAATATATAAATTTCACTATCCATCATATCTCTAGAAAATTTATAAGACACGGATCCAAAAATAAAAAGAAAAAAGAAAAAAGATTCTACCAAATAGCCCATAAAAGATGTTGTTGACTCGGATCACTTGCGGGTCAACTCACGGACTCGTCGACTTCCTCCTTCAAATCAATCATCCTTCGATCGAAATTTCTTTGATCCACCACCACTAATCGATAGGCCACCACTAGATCTACCATTATTGACTATTAGGGAAGAAGACGACGCTCAGAGGAGGGAGAAATCGAGGAAAGAAGGCCGATGACCTAATCCAATTTTGTACCTACTATTATCATCATTTTTTAGCCAAACCAACCCCACCACCACAAAAGTGTTCCTAATCCTCCTAAGAGTGGTTCCCTCTAGAAATCACGATGAAATATTATCGAAATTAGCCAAATTGAAGAGAAGATGAATGGCTAACCCGTTTACCCATTTGTCCAAACTCGACCAAATCTCCTTGATCCGACCAAATTCGATCTCCTAACCATCGTAGAAATGTTTCTCGTGGTTCTCTAAGTAGCTTGTGTTCTCTTTTTGCCTTGCCATGATCAAAATCTTTAATTGGAGAAGAGGCGGTCCAAATCAAACTTTATTGGGTCCGATCACTCTCCTTTATCAATGGCGACCAATGACACCACCATAGATAAACCAATGATGACCTCCTCCGGCTTATAGAATAGTCAACTCACCTAAAGGATGATCAAACGATGATCAAATATCTCAATAATAGCATTGGATTTTGAGGGTTAGTTTTGTAAGTTTAACATACAAGGGCACATTGGTCATTTTCAATAGCATCACGGGGGATTTTGATAACTCTATAGTATCTATAGTGACCATTTAGTTTTTTTCTCTCACCTATTTATTTTTTTATTACTTTATGATATTGTTTTGTAATAATGTTAATTTTATTTGTGTTAGAAAATTTAGAAATATTTAGGTTGTGAAATTTATTTTAATGTATGGAGTTGATTCAATTGTGATGTCGGACCACCGAGTCTCAAATTTATTTATGATGGACGATAGTTTGATACATTTTTTTAGTGTTAAAAATGCTAAAAAAATAATAATGAGTCAAGTCGGATCGATTTTATTTAATATTTCATGTAAATATTTTTGGTTATTTAGGTCATTCCTCGACATTCCAATTATGTTAGAACTTTAATTCGGATCCAATGCTAATTTGACGAGACTCGTAAATCTTGGAGCTCGACGTTAATTTAATATGATGTCATAAAATGAAAAAATATTTTAAAAAAATATTTTGACAATATTTTTTCCACATATCTCAAAATAAAACACTTGTAGTTTAAATAAGGAAAAATAACAAAAAGAGAGAGAGAGAGAGAGAAAGCATTTTAAGAAATCTTAACAAGTCTCATATTTGATAGGGACTAATGTTAATTAATCATATTTTAGTAATTAGGTCGTTCTCCAGACATACCAATTATGTTGAACTTAAGTCGGATACAATATTGAATTGATAAGACTCTTGATGCCGGGGTTTGACGATCGGTTCAATATGATACCACAAATAAAACTAAAAAATCAATTAGCTTAGGAAAGAAATCTTAAAATTTGACTTGGGATTAATTTTGACAAATAATCGAATTTTCGGGAGATAAACTTTTAGAACTAGATCGGACATGGTACCTTTTTATCGAAAAGAATGCCATTGGGTGATTGATATCTTTCTCGCGTACATAACTAAACTTTTAGAACTAGATCGGACATGGTACCTTTTATCGAAAAGAATGCCTTTGGATTATTGATATCTTTCGAAGACATAACTCATTACTCTAGAATTTCGAATCGGTGTCATTTTTAGGTTTTCTAATCCCTTCAATACTAGGTGATGCTTCTAAAATTAATAATAAATCATATCCTTAGCAAATAACCATAAAAAACAATTTTTTATAAAGAATTTTTTGAAAGTCCTAGAAATATCGAGTACTAACAAACTACATCAAAATTTTCTCTCATGTAGTCAAGATGACTATTATTAGGCTAGAGTTGAGTATTATGGCTACATAAAATTTTTATTTAGAGTAATTAGATGTTAAAACTACTTTCCTATATGATGACTTTGAGGAAGACATCTATATGGCACAATTAGAAAGCTTTGAAGTTCCAAAGAAGGAAAAACTTATATGCAAGTTATAGAAAAGTCCGTATGGTTTGAAACAAGCTCTCGGATAATGGCACAAGAAGTTTAATGTATGCTACGATCCCTTATGCATGGTTATACATGGTAGTTAGAAGCTTGATGTATGCTATGATTGGCATAAGACCCGATATAGCCCATGCAATGGAAGTTGTCGGTTAGTATATGGAAAATTCGAGAAAGAAGCATCGGGAAGGAGTAAAGTGGATTCTTCATTATCTAAATAATACTTTAGATATGACCCTTTGTTTTAACAAGAATGATACTTGCTCTACAAGGATTTATTGATGTATATTTAGGTGGTGATCTAGACAATAGAAAGAGTACAATAGTTTATGTTTTCACTTTGAGTGGTACCGGTGTGAGTTGAGTATCTTGACTTCGAAGTGTGTTGCTCTTTCCATCACTCGAAGTTGAGTATATGACTATTTTAGAAACCGGTAAAAAAATAGTTTGGTTGAAAAACTTCCCGAAGAAAGTGGGTAAGGCATAGTATGATAGTGAGATTTTTAGTGACGATCGAGTGTAATTCATCTTAACAAAAATCTAGTCTTTCATGCGAGAACCAAACATATTCGGTTGAAGTATCACTATATCCGAGAGTTATTGGATGATAGGGGTAATATGTTTGAACAAGATTCTAGAATTAGAGAATCCAGCTAATAAGCTAACCAAGGAAGTTACCATTAATAAGCCGAGACTTTGCATTGTTTGTCTTAATTGGCCTACGCGATTAGTGATGAGAAGACACTACACTAGGAGGACTTGAAGTTGGATGAGAAAAAATGAACGAGTTACAAGAGGTCCGGTGCTATTTGGTGATCGGTCTCCAAGTGAGAGATTGTTACGTTGTGGAGACTAATATGGATGAGAGCTCGCAGTATAAGGCGCTATATAGATTCAGTACAATGGTCTAGCTAGCTAGTTAGCGAGTAGGAGTCAAGGAGGCGGCATCCTTTACAAGAGCTCCGTGGCGAAACCTTCGAAAGTTCTATAGAATATTAGACCGGATGTATAGGTTAGTTAGACCCTTTTTTTCTCTTATAATCCTAGTTATCCACACTATAAATAGATGTAACATCACTTAAATTTATAGCCACCATTTGCAAAACCTAATAAGAAATCCTAGTGCAACTATAGAGTAGACAACATTATCGAACCACGTAAAATTTTTGTATTATGTGATTGATATGATTTTTCTATTTTTGTTTCCTTGATTTGCTTTCTAACATGGCTCTCAATCTATTGTTGGCCCAAATAATTTACAAAGAAACAGTTTTCACATTTCTTTTATTTGTGATAAGCAGGTTTTGGGCTCATACCTCGTTAAAAGGCTATAGACTTTAGGGGTGTGGCCCAAAATCTTGACTTTGGAAAATTCAGCTGTCCCTGACTTCCTAGTAACCTTAAATAGGTGAAACAAGAGAAGCCCCAGCAACAAGATTAATCCTCTAAACAATTAAATATCTCTTTAGCAATGTGACGCAGATCTTTGCAAAACTGATTTTGAGCTGAAAAGTATTTTTCATTAGTTTTGCTGTTTTCATAAAAAATTCATCCCCAAAAATCAAAACATCATTTGTTGAAAGTATTTTTAAATGCAATCTAAACACATTATCAAATACATGACCAGAAGCCATGAGATAAGAAGCTCAAAATATCAAAATACCAATATGACAAAGTCTTCATCTCATTGTTGGGGGCATATTGTGATTTTCCACATTTCAGATCAGGCAGAAAGCCAATTATAGAAATATGTAAACAAAATACTCTAATATAAAACAACATAAAAAAGTTCTATTAGCATTTAGCAGATCATTAAATATAGTTCACAGAAAATTTTGCTGTTTAACAGTACTTAACAACCCACACAAAGGATATCAATCCATTTATTTCACAACACAAAGATTAAGATTTTAGCCACTAGCTTCCGGCTGCTAGCTTGATTTCAGCTTTGATTTCCATCAATTTGCCCACTGCAAAAATAAACAACATATGTGTAAGAAATCAAGAAGTATTTTCCTGTATCTTAAATTTAACAATTCTCTCCTTTGCATATATATATATATATATAATAAATTGCACAAAAGGTGGAATTGAAATGGGAATGATGCTCAGCTAGATTATGTCACATGAAATTGTTTCAAATAACTTGAACACATTCACCTTTGAAGCAGATCCGAATGTGAAATCAGAAGAGGGAATTGGTGGTTTAGTCATGAGTTGCTGAGGATCTTCATTGTTTTGATCCATCATGAATTCCTACAAAGAAAACCACTTACACAATTGCATCATACAGCACGGAACTTAACCATAATGTTTTTTCATATATAATTTATAAGGTACAATAAAAATAAAGAATTTTATTTCATGAACTATATCACTCACCCCATTGAGGTCCAAGAAAGGAAACGGCATTTGCATGTTAGGAAGAGATTCCATTTCTTCAATGCACTTGGCCACTTCATCCTCCTGATTTATATCAAACATTTCAGAAATTAGTACATTCCTTCACATCATTTGTCAATGCACGTCCAAGTTTCATGTTAATATTTTGATATGACTTATACAAGACTTTGAGTTGTGATTAAAAACTTTGTTTCAAGTCATGAACAAGAAATAACTTTGAGTAAAAATAAGAAAAATAAATAACATATTTTGCCAAACGGACTCTTATATACTCTTTATAAGCTTAAAAAACATTTATTATATAAGCTTGAAAAATTAATTAGTAAGTGGAATTTAAGTTAAATATACTCTTAGGTTCCATTTTTATGATTTTATAAGTTGATTTAAGTTGTTTTTTTACTGTGAACTAAAAAAAAAAAAAAACTCATAAACATATTTGGTTAAAAATAATTTTTAACTTAAAACAAAAAATGGTTACAAAATTAAGTCAAAATTTCTGCATTAATTAAAAGCTAAAATTTTTAACTTATAACTTATACCATATTTCTTCTTCAAAATTGTTTTGAGTTATTTTTAATTAAATATACTTCTAATTTAACTCATTTTTATTATAAATTATTTATGAAAATTAATTTTTGTATTATTACTCATAAGTCAAGAGTTGTTTTTCAAAAGTCATCCAAAACAAACTCTTAATTGACTTATATAATGATTTTTGAGTCACACAACTTAAAACCCAATATAAAAAAATAAAAAATAAAACAATAACAACAATATTAACCATACATTGGAGAGTCAACAATTGAATCATGTATGATTCCTAGCACTATATGCATGTGTATTGGCAAGGGCAAGAGAAAAGGGAGAGCACCTTCTGATTATCACAAGGAACTACACGATTCAAGAAATTAAGCATGTTCTCTTGTCTGATGGCTCTGGAAATATCACAACGTTGCAATGTTCGACGCTTACAATCAGTGGTTTGAAGCCATGCACGAAGAGTGAGCTCCAGAATGAAGAGCTCACAAGCTTTCGAGAATAAGATAGGAGTTTCTGAACTTATCATCTGATAATTAATAATACATCAAAGACATAAGATAATGAAGGACATTTGTGTATATATATATCATTGATATGTCTATGATCTAACTACTTTATAAAATAGGGTTTTAATATGGTACCAAAGAAATAAATCTGCCGATACAAAATTGTTTTTAAAAAAAATTATTTTTGTGATTTTTGTTGAACAAACCATTACATACGAGTGTAATTGCCGTAAACTTAACCATATCAAACACCTTCAAATATGGTATGATAACAATATGAAAGCGTAAGTTCTTTTTAGAAATTTGAAAGTTTCTTGTGAGTACCTGTCTGTTTTATTATTAAATTGTTATTTACATCACTAATTTCAACTGCTGTACTTTCTTATTGTAGAAATTGAAGTGGAGGATCTAATAAGGTAGATCCTACACATAATAAATCATAGTGATCATTAACAATAGTTTTATACAAAATTTTCATTTTTAAGAATTTGAAAAAATTAATGTTGTTTCAATTCTTTTTATTTTTATTTTTTTCATCATTACATTTTTGTGTTTTCAAATTAGATCTCTAAAATATTGACATTCTTCTTCTCTTTTAATTTATTCGAAGAACTTTTTTGTTCTCATACAATGAAGTTCGGTAAAACTTATCATGCTTCCCAATTTAATTTGCTACTTACATCTCTTAATTATTTAGCTCCTTACTTACAACAACAACAACAACAACCAAAAAAAAAAAAAGAAGCAAGTCATCAACAATATGAAATAAAAGACATGCAAACCTTAACATCTCCGTCAGATTTCATGACTCTTTTGATCCTTGCCAGAGGCAATAGGTGACTGCTCTTGAATGCTGAAATACGGCGACGGCCGGCGAGATACCAAAAAATCGATATAAATCAGTACAAAAATAAAAATAAAAATAAAAATAAAATCTACAAAAATAAATATTGCGAATCACCGAAAAAATTACCGGTGGTATTGTAGATCTCCGATAACTGTTGATTCCAAAATAGTTCCAGATTCTGCTTATGATGCTGCAATAAATAGGAAAACCTAGCCTGATTAGCATCTATATATAAAAGAAACCAAGCCAAACACAAGAAAATGATGATAAAACCTCACCTCTTTGGTTGTTTGATGATAAGGCAACATTGAAGAGTTCATAGGTACAACATTTTCAACCTGTACTGATGGATCAGCCGATTCTAGATCGAATTCCATTGATTGATTCAAATCCATGAGTACCCTCTTAGCGTTACTTCCTGTTTCACTTTGATACGATGACATAATCCTTAAATAATGAGACAAATGGGGAGGTTGCACACATGAAATGAACACAATGAGCAAAATTAAGCTGAAGTTGCAATATTGTGCAACGAACATTAATTTAAGGAAATCTCTTAAACTAGCTAGATTTTATTTAGCATATTTTTCATAATTAATAAATTAAAGGGACAAAAATGGAAAATGCATTTAACCAAACACAATTTTCTTTAAATTTTAAAACCCAGTAAAATAAAAAAATATATTTCTTTATTCAAATTAAATTTCAAGCTTTAACTTCGTTGGCACGCGTTTTGAGAATATTGCCAAATGATGTGCTTCGTGTATTTATAAGAACTAGTTTTCTTGTCACGTGTATGCATTTTTATCATTCGAGAATATATTTAATATTTTTTTTCATGAATTGATTCAATAGTTAATTGTTAGAAAATACAAATCCATAAAAAAAAAAAAAGGTCCGATTAATATTTTCTGAATTTTGTTGTAAGTTTATTATTTTAATTTTAATTATTTGAGGTTGAAACAGAAATTAAAAATATAGGTAAGAATATAAATTTTATAATTCATTTTCTTTAAAAGAGGCTTCTTTTGATATTAATAACGATTATATGAGTAAAGAAATAACAAAAATTTTATGAGTCATTTCGTTTAAATAAAGGAGTCAAAGATAACGTTAACGTAGAAAATAACAAATGATTTCAAATTCAAAAAAATAAAAAAATAAATAAGGATCTGATTTTATAATTTAATAATTTTGATGTAATTTTATTAATTTTTAGCTTTCAATTGTTGGCTTTTGTTGACCTATTTTAATTTAAAGCTTTTTCAGAGTCAGACAATAAGGTGATACACACTACAATAATAAAAAAAATTTAAAAAAAAAAAGAATTTGCGACATGAAATTAGTGACGGTCCAAAAATCGTCACTAATTTACAATATTTGCGATGGTTTTAGTCGCTTTAGTGAGGATCCAAAAAACCATAGCTAAAATTTCACAAAACGAACGTTTTTAGCGACGGTTTGACCAAACCATTGCTAATTACCCGGATTTTAATTTCCTTCTTGGATATGGACCGTATTTGCGATGGTTTTTCTAAAAAAAAGCTTTACAAAAATTAAAATATAGACCTTTGCTAAACCGTTACTAAAATAACAATTGAAAAAAATTAAAAAACCAATTTTTGCGACGATTTTTTACAAAAAAACCATTGCAAAAATTAAAATTAGCGATGGTCTCGTAGACCGTCGCTAAACCGTTGTTAAAATAGCAATTGAAAAAAAAATTAAAAAACCAATTTTTGCGATAGTTTTTTACAAAAAAATTGTTGCAAAAATTAAAATTGGCGACAATCGTAGACCGTTGCTAAAATTGCAATTAAAAAAATTTTAAAAACCAATTTTTACGACGGTTTTTTACCAAAAAAACCATTACAAAAATTAAAATTAGCGATGGTCCGTAGACCGTTGCTAAAATTGCAATTGAAAAAAAATTAAAAACCAATTTTTTTGATGGTTTTTTACCAAAAAAACCTTTGCAAAAATTAAAATTAGCAACGGTCTACAAACCGTTTCTAAAATTGCAATTAAAAAAAAATTAGTAAACCAATTTTTGCGACAGCTTTTTGCAAAAAAACCGTTGCAAAATTTCAAATTAGAGACGGTCCGTAGACCGTCGCTAAAATGAGTCCGTTGGTGGGAAACGGCTATTTTTCAAAATTTAAGAAAAGTAACCAACAATTAGCGAAGGTTTCGGGTCCATCGCTAAACCTTTAACTTTATAAACCCATCCTCCCGAAAATTTTCAAAAAAAAATTTCTCTCTCCAGACTCTCTTCTTCTTCTCCAACGACAGCGTCGATCTATCCAAAATTGCCATCAAATCTTCCCCCTCTCCCTTAATTTCCTTCCAATCTTCTCCTTTCTCTCCTCCATCTCTCCTCCTTTCTTCCCTCTTTTCCTCTTTCTTTCTTCCTTTCTCTTCTCTTCCTCCATCGGTCGTTTTCCAACCGGACAAGTCCGACAAAGTCCTTCCACCGACGCAGCTCCCTCTCCTCTTTGTGTTGGTGAAAGGTCCTCTCTTATCTAACCCCTCATTTTATTTTTTAATTTTTTCAATTATTTAGTTAATATAATTTAAATATTGTTTGTTAATTTAATTAATTGTTATTGTTAATTGCATGTATTGTTGTTATTGTTAATTGGTGATTTAATTAATATTATTGTAATTTGTTAATTGAGTTAGTTTATTTGTTAAGGAAATTTAATTGGTATTAATTTTTGTTAATTGTGATAGTTTAAATGTTTAATTGTTAATTGTGTTGTTAATGTTTTTGTTAATTGTTTATTTAATTAATATTATTGTTAATTGTTAATTTAGTTAGTTTAATTGTTAAAGAAATTTAATTGCTATTACTTTTTGTTAATTGTGAGTTTATATGTTAATTTTATTGTTATTGTTATTATTAATTGATGATTTAATTAATTTATTGTTAATTGTTAATTTAGTTAGTTTAATTGTTAAGAAATTATAATTGTTATTAATTGTTGTTAATTGTGAGATTTTAAATTATTAATTTTATTGTTAAGAAAATTAAATTGTTATTATTTTTTGTTGTTAATTTAATTGTTGTTGTTATTAGTGGAATTGGTAATTAGCAATTTAGTTAGTTTATTGTTAAATGTTATTTATTAATTTAGTTAGTTTAATTGTTGGAATTTTTGAAAGTTGATTATTTAAAAAAATTGTTAATAAGTTATTAGAAATATTTTAAATTTTTAGTAATTAAAAAATAATTATTCATTAAAAAATTAATACTTGTTGAATTTAGATTTAGTAATTAACAAATTAATAAGTGATTGAGTTTATTTAGTTGTTCATTAAGTAAATTAATGTGTTAATTAGTAATTAAAAAATTAATTAAATTGTAATATTTATTTAGTAATTTTAAAATTTATTAGTAATTAAACTTATTTAGTTGTTGATTAAGTTAAGTAGTTAGGTAATTAGAATATTAATTAAGAAGTAAAAAATTAATTTTTTCAAAATTATATTTAGTAGATACAAAATTAAATTATTATAAATATTTAAAATTTTTAGTAATTAAAAAAATAATTAGTATTTGAAAAATTAATACTTGTTGAATTTAGATTTAGTAATTAAAAAAGTAATAAGTGATTAATTTTATTTAGTTGTTGATTAAGTAAAGGCATCATGTAATTTCAGAATTAATTAATAATTTAAATATTATTTAGTAAAAACAATATTAAGTTATTAGAAATATTTTAAATTTTTAGTAATTTTAATTAGTAATTAAAAATTATTGACGGAATTAGTGACGGTCAAATCTGAAATAAATTGCGACGGTCCAAAAACCGTTGCTAATTTCGTCGCTAAATTGCAACGGACTTAGTGAGGTTTTTTTTTTTTTTTTTTTTTTTTTTTTTTTTACAACGGTTTAGTCCGTCGTAAAATTAGTGACGGTCTAAAAACTGTCGCAAAAATTTAACGACTTGCATTTTAGCGACGGTCCAATTACATTAGCAATGGTTTTTTTTTAATTAGCGATGGTCTAGACAGTCGCTAATTGTATTTTTTTTGTAGTGATATAGGTTAGGAGTATTTAATAAGCCTAGTTTATACTATTTACGATTTTATTTGATATATAAATAGTCATATAATGAGAGAAAAAAAAGGAGGGGGGGGGGGAGACTGATCTATTTGTTCTAGAAATACATTAATTTTTTATTCTCTTTCTTGATTAGAGATTAGAGATTAGATATACAGTTGCATGTTCATATTAGTCTAGGCATATATTTCGTATTGTCATATAAAAAAAAATCTTATATTTAATAGTTTTTTTAAAAAAAATTTTGGCATGTATTTTTTTTAAGTTAAGAGCATTCATTTTTTTTTTTTTATCAAAAATTATTTTTAATACATGTGATGGTTTTTAAAATCTAAGTGTATTTTTATGGAATCAAATGCTTTGACATTGATTTTGTGCTTTTCTATATAGTTTTTTTTTTAAAAAAAAGATAAGACAATTAATATATTTTGTATTAATCAAAAAAGTCTTTTTAACGCATATAATGATTCCTAAAATCTAAAGGTATTTTTTGTAAAATCAATTTTTTTTAATATTAAGCGTGTTGTTATATATAGTTAGAAATTAAAATAATACTGGTCTTATAAAAAAAATTAATAATTCATTTATAGAAAATTTTCAACCTTTAAATTTATGAATTTATGAAATGTATTAACGAGACCCCTATATTTAGTGGTGCATTAAACTTTTCAAAAAAGAGAATATTTGGTAAACATAGCATTATTTTAAGTATTAACATAAGCCCACAAGCCTAATCAATGGTCTTGATTTTTCTGGATTTTTTTAAAGTACAAGTCACCTTCTTGAAATTATACAAAATAAATAAATAGGTGTGTGTATATCCAATTTTCTATCTTAAATCAATGTTTTTAGTATAAATCTTATAATTTAAAGTTGGGTTTATCGATCTATTTACCCTTGTTTATTATGCATCTTCTCTCATATACTCTTGTATATTTATACTTTCTCCCAGGTATTATTTTATCGTTTTTTGGACAGAAATACCCCTCGGACTACCAAAAGAGAATTTTATTTTTATTACATAAAAATAAAAATAAAAATAAATTCTACACTAGAAAAAATTTGAAAAACCAAGAAAATAGAAAATTTTATTTAAAAAATCAGAAAATATAGAAACATAAAAACTTGTAACATCCCAACAACAACAATAATAATAATAACTCATAAAAAAGGAAAAGATAGGAAACTAAGGAATTTTAAAAAAAAATTCCATGTTTTACAAAACTTATTTTATTGACATATACATATTTTTATTATCGGGTTCTATAGATATGGTTTTCTTTTCTTTCTTTCTTTTTTTTTTTTTTTTAGATTTTACAAGTTAGTTTT